GTTTAGCTCACTACTTGACTTGCCCCACATCCTCCCGAAAACACCAGGGGGCCAACTGGCCGGGGGGTTTGACAGACCCTTCATGCCCTGGGGAAGAGGAGAGTAATGAACGCTTTCACTATTCCTCCCACAGCAAGGGTGGGCTTTGCAGCCCGGGGGGCCTTGACAGCCCTCTATGCCCTGGACAGAGCGTGAGTTCATGGTCGCAGCAGGCAGATGCATGAGCAGAGTCCTTGTCTTTCGGGGCAGGACAACTATACAGAGGCTATCGATGTGTGGTCAGTTGGTCAGAACCTAAGCCGTGGGGAAGTGCTATACTCGTATGGGAAGGCTGCAAGGACATTGCGCACACAAAGTCGTGTTATGTTCAAAGTTGTGTGCCAAATTCAGTCTTTCGAGCAGGTGCTAACCTGCAAGCTTCTACCATCCCAGGCTGCATTTATGCAGAGCTCCTCGGCATGCTGCCACAAGCCGGGAAAAGCTACTTGGACCGCGGACCTTTGTTTCCTGGGACGCGCGGTGCTTGGCCCGAGTTACTCCATGCCAGCAGCTAGCACAGATGAATTTTTTACAATGCATGTGTGCCGTGCTGCTCAGATCCTGCTTCCCGCTGTCCCCGGACCACAAGCACAAATCAGTATCTGGGCTGCACTGGCTACGGCTGGTGGCGCTCAATGCGCCACTGTCCATTATACGGTCAAGCCATAATCTCAGAACAAATGCCTCAAACCTTTTGAACCTTCGACGAACAATTTCGACGACAAAGCAGCAATCAGACATCGACCAGCAGCTTGAACAAGCGATCATCCCGAACTATGTATGTGTCATTATGTGGCGGTATCATCCTACATGGCTTCTGCGACGACGCAGAGACCTGCTTCGTTTCCTCGGGCTTGCGATGTCGTAGCCAAAATCACTACAGTATCAGTTCCAATGCTGCAGATGCGGCTGCCTGCCCCTTGCACTGCGACAACATGTGAGGACCAAGAATGATTTCCATTCATTTCAAGTCTTCACACACATACTTGTTTGTATTTGTCAATGTCATTGATCTGTTGTCCTGTCGCGTTGCATCTGTAGGGAGCGAAGAAGGCCTGGTTTTTACCCGAGGAATGCAAGTGCTGACTTGCAGCCGTTGAGGCGTTAAGAATACTAAGAACAACAAAAATCTCGGGATGCCGGGAGCGCTGTAGGGCTGGCTCTTCCAGGACTACAAATACTACACCAACGGCAAGCATGACATGCTGAAAAAGATCTTTGGACTTTTGGGGACTCCTGAGCAAAAGGACGCTCCCATGCGATCTGCAGGGTGCTGGAACTGGGCTACTTCCGGTTTTCCTTTTGCGAGGACATTGATGCATGCATTGAGCGCGAAGATGCAAAGCGCAACTTGCCTTCAAGGTCTAGGGTCCTAATAAGGTGCCGCCTGGTCATACAAAGACCGTGGCTGCTGCCGGCGACGCTGAGGTTACATAGCTTGCTTCCCAAAGCAAGTTGGAGATGGATTGCGCAAAGTATTCAAAGACTCTTGGCACTGTTCCGAGAATGCTAAGACATGCTCTGCATGTTAGCATGTGTGCACTCCGCATAGTCTCTCGAGGAGATTGATGCTGGCATGATTGATATCCTTGAGAAGATGAAGCCTGTTGCAATATTGCTTTGCATTGCGAAACATGCCTGCTACAAGCAATGCAGCTTACATTGAACTTTTCGTGCACTGGACGCAACGTTTAGGTTAATCTTCAATCCGAAGACTCGTATCTCGGTGCAAGAGGCAAGCCGACACTTGCATGTAATCTCAATGCAAGATTCTGTGCTGGCTGTACATGAATGAACCCAGCGTGTCAGCAAAGGCTTCGGTGCTTTACGACAGCCTTACAGATTCACTTGACATGCCTAGTCAAGTATGCGGTGAGGCCCGGCTTGCACATTCGCCATGCAAACTTAGTCCTTTAACAGGCCCTGGCCCACCCGCTACTCGCAGACATTCGCGACAAGACATTGGAAACTACGTCGCCAGAAGTGGTCGTGCTACTTTGTTGCAAAGGTCAGACTAAGTCTCCATCGGCACGGCGGTCTGTTCGTCCCAGTATCCCCTCGGGACGAAGGCTTCCAGTGGAGAGAGAGGCTTGATGTTGCACTTGCGTCTTGAGGCTTCCCTTCGAGAAGGAGCCCGACCTTGACGAAGACCTGCTGAGCATTTTCACCGCACTTCATGACATCAAGCTGTTTCTGACTGCTTGTGTCATCGCAAAGCGAAGCCGGAGTGCCAAACATTCTTGAAATGCCGCATGTTCGGAACATGATATTGTCTTAGACTCCGAAGCTGCCCCTGATCGAGCTCAGACTAAGGGCGGTACTTCAATGCAGAGCTTCGAAAGTGACCAGGAAGCCATTGGTGTGCCGTGTGTGATGAATGTTGATTTGTTGCCAAGGTGGCCGGATCATCTGTGTGCTATTCTGACTTATGAGGTCCAGCTACAGGGATTGCAGAACCAGCCCAGGTACCACCCAGAGGTGCCGGAGTATAAACCTCTGCGAGGCTACGGCAGCTGAAAGTCGAGCACGTTCTCGTGGCAGAACTCCGTGTTGTGCGGTACAGAGCAGCGGAGTCTAAGTCACCATGGCCTCCGCGGCTGCTGAACACTAGCGGCGACTGTGAGCAAGGCCTATTTGGCTGCAGCGATGCTCAGCTCTTTTAACTGCTCTGCTTTGTCAACAGAACATAGGACGTGTGCTGTGGGCTGTGGGAGTGACACGGCAGCTGGCTTGAACAAGGGCTATGACGCATTGTGATGTTGGATACACAAGTATTGCAAGGTCATCTCCCTCAAAAGCTTCACTCTGGTCTTAGGCATTCTTAATGCCGAGATTGCTTTGCGACGATCCATCGCTGTCCAAAAAGATGTCTGCGATCACGAGACGCTGCCTTCCGTCCCACGGTGAGTCGTGAAATACAGATAGTTACAGATGTATCAACAACCATTCATGTGTTCACATGTGTTCACAAGCTGGAGGGCTCTGTACTGCAGTTGACAGGAGTCGAGGCCGGCGGCGTTGAGGACTCAGCGCCATTCCGAACCATTCAGCTATACGTCTTTGTCATGCTTTGTTTCCGAATCTCCTCAGCGACATGCCACGTGACACGCACCTTTACTCCTGTCATCTCCAGTCTAAGATGTCCAAGGTCTCTACGTAATGCGCCGACTGCGCAAGCGCAGGTGCAACGCCCTTCTGTTGGGCTTGACCGCGGGGGGCGGGGGGGGGGGGGGGTGGGCACACACGCATCTGGAGAAGGTTCGTCGTGATCTCAGCCATGTGCATGCATCTCATTCGTGCAGGCAAGACCACATGGCTCTGCAGCTGTGGAAATCACGCAGCTTGTTGTGGGTACCTTACTGTGGACGGGCCTTCGTGGTTTCTTCCCGGCTGGCAATAGAATGGGCGATTGGTAAGACTCTGACCGGCAGGTGGCATGTGCCGTGGGCATGTCGACGAGTCGAGGATAGCTTGGCTGCTACGGCAATCTGCCACAAGTCATCAAGAGTCTGATGCCGTGCTGTTCGGGTGAGCTACAGCGACGCTTTTGAAGGCTCAAAGATAAGTCAAGCTGCAACCATGGCCCAGCTTGTCCAAGTTCCCTGACGACCACGGCAAAAACCTCGGCAGTGAGTCTAGGGACACCACAGACCACGTGTGACTTGAGACCTTGCTTTTTTCGCCAGACTTGGGCCGTATGGCAACTTAGCAAATGACGCCACATGAGCAGCATCAGCCCGAGGCATGTCTCGGGTGCATTGCACCACCTAAGCATCTCTGGGAGAATGATCCAAGCCGTGCAGGTGCCGGGCTTTGGCACAGCCCTGCACTGAGTTTGCAACTTACCCCTTTCGCTTGGTGCGAGTTCGAAAGCTGTGTGCAAGGTTTCTCGATCATCACCGAGAGCCTTCATGGCGGTTGCAGCAAGTCTTACACGGTGTTTACAAGGTCACCATCGCAGTGCGCGTTGGCCATAATCCTCACCTCCTCCATACCAGGCGCACAAGATCAAATGGCATGCCATCGACGGCCTACCCGACACACTGAAGTGGCGACTGAAGGAACTACAGAACATTTGACAGCATGTGCTGAGTGGTATGCATGCAGAGCAGGACCAGTTCGGGAAGTACACCACGTCTTTCAAGCCCGAGGCGCCGACTTCTTCGAAGTTTTTGAGCGACTCCGTCTCGGCTCCGAGTCTCGGCCCTGGGAGGCAGCGTCCGAAGGAGATTCGGCAGAGAAGCTTCTACTGAAGTCACACACTGACGAAGCACGTGCCGGATCCCAAGCGGGTCGGCCACCACCTCACTTTGCTTGGACCGAGTCTTCCAGGTCGAAGCCGTGTCTTTGAAGTTTCACTCTCATCGTTCGCTGTGCATCTCATCGCAGGCTTGGGCTTGTTTACTCGCATGTTGAGCTTTGTGGTCCGTTGGCAACTCTGCCAGTGCCAGTGTCAGAGCACAAGAAAGCAAGAGGGAGCAGGCGCACCAAAACTGGGCTTCAGAGGCCCAGCGACGGCTGAGGGGGACACCCCCCAAGAAAAGCAAGACGAGCCTGGAGCAGAGTCACAGCCATGCGCAAGCGCAAACGCAGGGACCAGCCCAGTCCCAGTCACTGCCAATCACTTTGCAACAAGAATCGCGCTAGAATCCGCTAGAACGACACCTGGCAAAGAAGCCTCCGGGCCGAAGCTGGGGATCAGCCAGGTGCCAGGGACCCCTCCCGTGCCACCTTACGCCATGTCTGCTTGGCAGCTGGAACTGTGGGTTTTACTCTGCAAGGATTCATGTCTAGGTCTGTTGGCAGACTGCGAAGACACTATGAGGTCTGTGACTGTGTACAGACTTCTGACTCGCGCAGCTGTCGAGACCTGTGTATGGATTTCTGACTCGCGGAGCTGTCGATCGCGGGCGTCGTCAGGTGAGATTTGTAGAGGCCTCTGATGGCTTTGGTAACTTATGGCTTTGCATTGCTATTCCTTGCTTCCACCTTGAAGAAGCCGCCTCGCCATGGGACGAGTAAGCGAACCTGTTCCAGACACGGCATAGCCACTGTACACTCACCTACGATAAGAGGTTCAATGCCCGAAGAGATCAACGGAACACTCCATGCCAACACCAGAAGGTATAATATAAAGATATTAAGGAATTCATCAGGGCCAATGCCAGAAATGACGAGAGGACGTGTTTGCGATCGAAAGTTTTTTACATGCCCTCATCGACAAAAGGTGAGGGGTACACGGGTACATTGCTTGTCGTAATCAGAAAAGATGAACGGGTGACGCTTTCGAGAGCGCCAAAACCCAAAGAGATCAGGGGGAACTGCTTGCAGCTGGGAACATCGACCAGGACATCGCCAGATAAGATGAGGGGGGCAGTGCTTGCCATTGGATCGCCGAGTGTCAGCACGAGAGGAGTTGATTGGCACACCCTTTGCTAAAAAGAATGTTCTAAAGCATCATCGCCAGAAAAGATGAGGGGGGAGTTCAGCGGGATCATCGCCAGAAAAGGCGAGGGGGGGGGGCACTGCGTACGATGGGCAGTTTGAGGAGCAGATGAAGGGGACACGGGTCGCGATTAAGCGATGAGGGGAGCACGGTCAGTGATTCAGGATTTGAAAAGTTTAAACATCAGACAGTGCTTGCGACTGACGGTTTCAGGAGCATCAACTCCAGAAAAGATAAGGTGGACATGGTTTGCGATGGAAGATTTCAAGAAAAGAGATGAGACGGGCACTGTTTGCGAATGAAGACTCAAAATGAGCATCAACAGGAAAGGTGAGGGGGAAACGGCGTGCGATTGGATGTTTCAACAGGATCGTCGCCAAAGAACATGACGGGGACACTGCTAACATTCTTTGCGAGTGTTGATTCAAACAGTTCACGATGAGGGGAGCATTCCTTGCCGTTACAGCACCAAAAGAATGAGGGTTTCAACAGGACACGCACCACAAAAGATGAGGGGCCGCTCCTGGCGAATAGGGTTTCAAGAGGACCATCAAAGGCAAAGGTGAAGGGGACACTGCTTGTGACTTGCGAAGAGGACTTCAAGAGGACTTCAGAAGAAATGAGGGGCACACCCCTTTGCCAGTGGGAATTTCAAGAGCATCATGCCAGCAGAGATGAAGGGGACACCCCTTGCGAAAAGAGTATTCCAGAACATAATCGGCAGAATGGATAAAGGGCACCCTCCCTGTGACTGAGGGTTTTCTTGAGGATCATGGCAAAAGATGAGGGGGCATGCGTTGAGGGATATCCAGAGCATCATCACAAGAACAGATGAGGGGGACACTGCTTACGATTGGGGGCTTGAAGAGGGTCAGCACCAGAAAGGTGCCGGGGACGCGACGTCTGTTGCTTTCGTGAGTCCATTCTTGGAGAAGTTTTCAGCTTTCTAGGCCTTTCATATAAGTAGAACAAATTCTCTTTCAGTGACCTTCAGAGACTTTTGGCTCTCCTCCATCGCAACGAGCATCCCTTCATTGTTTCTGGCGATGATGCTCTAGAAAACCTCCAATCGCAAGGAGAGCGTGCTCATCATCGTTTGAAGGCGCTGGTGCTCAGAAGCTTCAGTCGCACTCCATGGTTCTCTAGAAATCCTCCAGTCGCAAGGAGTGTCAACCATATCTTTTTCTCTGGTGATGGTGTTCTGGAAACCTTCAAGCGCAAGGAGTGTCCCCTTCGCCGTGCATTGCCTTGCCCCCTACTTTGGTCTGGGTTCTTCAAAAAGTCACTTCGCAAGCCCTGGCCCTTCAGATTTGTGTGCCATTCTCTTCCAAAGGGATACATGGTGAGCCCTGCTCAATAAGGCTTTTGTTTTAGTTTGACGTCTTTTGCCGTTCGGGAACAACTTATACCAACAACTTTAGGTTCCAGGGCTTGCGATTGGTCCCTTCGGAGGAGAACCAAAACCCAACATATTAACGACTCGGGATTGCCATTTGTCTCTTTGGGTGAAGGTGTTCTGGATAACATTCAGTTGCAAGGAGTGCCCCCTTCATCCCTTCATTTTTTCTGCCGAGAATGCTCTAGAAGACCTTCAATCACAAGGAGTGTCCCCATCATCGTTGTAAGGCGTTGACGCTCTGCAGCAATCGATCGCAAGGAATGGCGCCCTCATCCCGTCATCTTTTCTGGCGATGATTCTTTAGAAAACTTTCAATCGCAAGGAAGTGATGAGGTGCTGGCAATCTGTCAAGCGCAAGGAGTGTCCGCCTCGCAGTATTGCCTTGCCCCTTGCTCTGGTCCGGATTCTTCAGAAAGACACTTCGCAAGCCCTGGCCCGCCAGACTTGTAGTCCAAGTTCTCTTCCAAAGGGACAAATCGTAAGCCCTGGCCCATAAAGATTTGGTTTGACGTCCTTTTCCATTGGGGAAGAACTTTTACCAATGACCTGCGGGAAGCGGAGGAGAGTTCAAACCCAAAATATTACAAAGGTGGTGGGTACGGATTCGGGCAGGGGTGGGAAGAGAGGAAACTATCAGGTGGTGGTTGTGCTACCCCATAGTGTTCGGACAAC